CTTCTTCTCTGGACTTCAGATGATTGGAATTTTGATCTGATGGTTTCATTTTAGCTCTACCTTTTGTACTCTGATCCCAAATATGTATCCCTCAGAATTTTTGAAGTTCTATCTCTTGAATAAATTTGTTTCGTCTCAAGCTATTTTGTTCATTGCCCTCATCGGTAATGTAGCAACTGGAAAGGTAGCATTTTTTTTGCCTCCGTTAACAGATTTTAGCTTCAAAATTACGAAATTTCATAAGTTTGGGCTTTCAGGGTAACAACAATTGCCTAATCTTTGCCAAGAGCTCGAGTTTTGATTTCTAAATGTTTATACCTTTTGCAATTTTTTCGTACTTATTAAGCTATTTGTTCAATGTCCTCTGATTGGTAATGTAGCAACTGCAAAAGGTAGCATTTTTTTCCCCTTCATTTGCAGAAGGCTGCATATCAATCTCTCGAGCATTTTACGGGCCAAATTACAAATTCAGATTTGATACATTTGGGAAATTGCTAAACTTCACCAACAGCTTGAGTTCTGATTTGTAAATGTTTATTATATCTTTGCGATTTTTTTTGCACTTCTTCGAGCAGGTGCTGAGGTGGCGGTGCTTTGCATAACCAAGTCTGGTGAAGTTTTGAACTACCAAGCCTTCACGAATTCGAATGGAGTATATGTAGTAGCTGAGACCATGCCAGAGAGTGAACGTTGGGATTCATGTCTGGCGAGGCCCATTAGCAGCTTCCATAGTCACTGCACTCATTTAGGAGAAGGTAATTCCGGTGTGAAGTTCAGTTACAATCATCCATCAGGTTATTCTCATACTGTTAAACCCTTTGTTTACCGGCCGGCCATTGTGCCGGCATATTGCTTTTAGAATGTCCCGTGAAAAGAATTATACATATACCTTTTTTTTTTTTATTTATGTGAAAGAAAATGACCAATCTGTATATGTGTCGGATAATATATTTATATTTATAAACAAGCTGCAAGCTTGATTTCATTGTTTTTCCGTATATACGGAACATAATTACATGTTTTTAGACGATAAACTTGCCATTTGATTGGGATTTGGGTTCATGTTGCTGCTGGGGTTTGTTTCTACTTGTGAGTTGAGTTTTGTGTGCTAATTTATTTCCCCAGCATTTTTCTCCTTGTTTTAATTCTTGGTTCAACTAGTGCTTTTCTTTTTTAAAACTACTTCTCACCATCTTTATACTGTTAAAGGTTGTGCTTCTTCATGAGGCTTTTTGAATTACTTATGAGTTTTACGAAAAGTGATTTTCGAACGGTGTGTACGTGCAATTGCATTATGTTTCGGTTCGGATAATCGACTATGCAAGTTTCAAGTTTGTATTTTCTATGCTTCTTTAAATTGTTGAGACACTCGAATTTCCAGCAAAAAAAACAGCGAACGTTGTGAAGAAACTCGATTTCCAATTTTAGTCAAAATAATTTAGTAATGTTCCATCTTCGGGCCCTATGACACCATCATCACACAATCTCGACCGACAAAACGGGCAGCTCGGGTTCACATAGACCCACCTCAGAATACAAAATCCATGAAAAACGTGCTCGCACGGCATCCGTATAGCCTCCGAGCCCTTCTTCAAACCCTTGAGGCAAATCGAGCACTCGTCGTTGTTTTCCCCTCCGAACACCTTCACCGACCTCATCCCGAAGCACTTATTCTCCGTGGGAGACCTCACGGTAAGCCCGCGCAATATCCCGAACCACCGCGAATCGCGTAGCCTCACGTCGTTCGAATTCTCCCTTATCCACCCGTCGAGTGGGCCCCGCCCTCCTCGACTGTTATTCCTACGGCCCTCCCTCTCGTCAGCCAGTCTCTTATAATCCTCGTCGCGTATTTTCTCCAGTTTTCCAATCCGAACGTCGATTTTGCTCACGCTCTCGTCGTTCGCGCACGCGCGCAAGTTTTCGAGGAGTCGTGATTTGATCTCGTCGAGGTTTAGTGAACGGCTATTGTTGTTGTTGTTGTCGGAGGGGAAATCGAGAATGCCCCAATGGATGTTTTCTCGGAAGGGGAAAGGGATTTCGAGTCTGTCGAGCATTTCGGATATTTTGTCGAGCTGGTCGAGTAGGTTGGTCGAGAGGAAAGTCGAGCGTGGGAATCGGAAGTCGGTTTTCGAAGGCGTGTGGTCGATTATCGGGAAGAATTTTCCGGCGCGATTTGTTGGGGCGGAACCGAGCGTGATGGATACTTGGACAGTGAGGTTTTCCGGGTCGGGTTTTGGGATTCGGATCGGTGGCCGGAAAGCGAGAACGTAGGTTAAGCTTTTTGCCATTGTTATTTGCTTTGATTTCCTTTTCTTTGTGTTTGGTTTTGATTCGTTCTTGATATGTTGGATTGTGTATTTATAGATGATGTTTTGGAGTATTTCCTTTAAGCTATAACTAAGAGGAATAGAATTGAATTACTTGGAAGGATATCAAATTTTATATCCTAGTTAGTAAAGGTTTGTGCCTTTTATATTAATTATATTTATTTATAAGAGCTCGAATAAAAGTAGTAATTAGTTAACTAGTAACTACACATAATATGAAGTTATAATTAATTTCCATTAGAAAAATAATATTAAATTCGTAAATAAACAAAAATACACCATGAGGAAATCAAAGTCCCTTGACAAGCAAGCAATCCATAACTAATCCGTTTGTGCCTACTGCCTAATAATAGGGGTTTTCAAACACATATTTGTGTGCAATTGTGTGGTTAAAAATACCCAATAGATAATTTTCTCTATTTTGTTTTTTCTCAAAATTTTTACTATAAAAATTTATTAAAAATTCATCTGCTTCACATATTTATAATAATCAATTACTAATTTATTATTTAACCTATATAAAATTAACTCTTCACATCATATTATTTTATATTAGTGAAATCATTTACTTTTTTCCAACAAATTTTTTTGCCTCAAATAAAAAAATATATATCTGATACGTCATTTTATTTTGATAATATCATTTAACATTCTTTCATCATTTTTTTTCTTCAAATCAGAAAATATAAACCTAACTACACAAACGTCTTCCTCTTGTATAAATCTTTATTGAAATGGACTATTACTTAAATGCTTGCACTTGATCCTTTTCTTTATCAATTCATCTAGAAATTAATTAATTTTTTTAACTATAGTTACTTTAAAAAAAATAGTATTGTTAGTTGTTAATAAATATATTAAAATAATATTTAAAATAAAATAATTAAAGTTGATATGATGAAAAAGTAAGAGAAAAATAATTGGAAGTGGTGGTTAGTTAAAATTATGTGAGTGGATGAATAGTGAATTAAAGTTGATGTGATGTGTAAGAATGATTGGTTGATATTATTTAATTATATTGATAATATTAAAGATAGTGGAATTTGGTTAAAATTAAGTTAAATTTGAGTTTTGATAGTAGAGTTTGGATAAACAATCACCCCTGCTTCCAAGGAGTATGTGTAGTCAACTCAACCTATTATATTATTAATGGCTTTTAATTATTAACTTTAGAAAATTTGTTGCAGCTGAATTTGATTGCATCTGATGTGAAATCTGATTTTCTGATTAATAAGTGTTCAAATTTTATTGTATGGGGGCAAAATATTAGTCTCTTTTTGTTCTATTACATGTGACAAAATTAAAATTAATTTTATGAAATTTTAAACTAGTTGGGCGCTACATGTGTATGTCAGAGTGATTTATCAATAACAAGACTATTAAAATATTCTAAAAGCTCTTATTTTTCTCAAAGAAAGGTTAAATATTTTAAACAAAGGAATATATAGTCCCATAAAAAACTAAAATACCATTCAAAGATTACACCACCCAACCACACACACACACAGAATTAAAGACCAATCCTCAAAACTAAAATATTTTTTCCTTTCCTTTTCTGCCTCATTCATTGACCAAAAGTCATCAAATCAAACACACACTCCAAAAATCACAANTTGTGAATTTCCCCTTAAAAACCTCACTTCTTGAGTCCCATATTGTTCCTATCCTCTTCCATAAAATCAAGCAAAACAGTGCTTTTACATTTAGGACACTTTGGATCTTCCTCCATTAACATTACATACATTAGGCATCTGGGACAGCCCACAAGAATCATATTCCTCATGCTTTCTGGGCTGCTCGAATATTGCTCATCGTTTGGGCTCGACTCTCGGGACACGCACGAGCTTCTTGGCGATATCTCGGCCGACGAGCCCGATTCGTGGGCCCACACGAGCTCTTGTCCCGGGCCTCGACTGTCCGTAGGTGGAGATAAGTTGAGCTTCAGCTCCAGCTTTGGGTTCTCATCTTTGTAATTCATTCTTGCAAAGCTGCTTTTTTGAAAATTTTGGGAAAAACAAAATGATTGCAAGAATTGTGGTATAATTAGATAAATTTTGACTAATTAGATAAATTTTGTAGTTTATTTAGACGGATACACTTTGTTAGGATTATATATAACAGATACAAATTAACAACAATTAGGCCATCTCCAGTCCATATCTCTAATCTAGCGCGGACTTTACTCTACTCTAGATTAGAGTTAAACATTCATCTCCAGCCTTTATCTCTACATTTTACTCTACATCAAATTTATTATTATTTTATTCATTTTTTATTTTAAATAAATTGGTATATATATGTATATTTAATCTTATAAAAAAATTTATTATCCAAATAAAAAAATGTATTTTATTTATGTTTATTTCAAACGAATTGGTATATATATATATATGTATATTTAATTTTATAAAAAATCTTTTTTACTCAAATAATAAAAATATCTTTTATTTATTTTTGTTTTAAATAAATTGTTATATTTCAAATGAATTGGTATATATATATTTTCTTGCTTTAATCCTGTCCGTCCAACAATTTACTATATATTTTTTTCTATCATAAATAATGTTGTTAAATGAAGATTTGTGTTATGTTAAAAAAAAATTGATAAATTTTTATTCATATGTTTTTATTTTAATATTAAGAAAATTACAAATAAAATCATAGTAGATCAATAAATAAAAAGCAAAAATTTTATGATATAATAAATACATTTACTAAACTCTATCCAAAATTTTATCACTAATATATAAAATCATACAAAAATACATAAATAAAAAAAAGGGAAATCTATACAGAATATATAAATAAATGAAAATTAAAAAAAAAAAAATTCTAACGCAACATCAACAGTGTTGCGCCAGATATAGAGATGCACTGTACATTTCTTTAATCTGGTGCAAAAATACAACGATGCACTGGAGCAAAAAAGTTGCACAATTCCAGCGTAATACACTCATGTAGCGCCACGCTGGAGATGATCTTAGTAAGTTATACTTTTCCAACATAATTTTACATACTTTCGAATTGAAATGTTACTACTAAAAACAACATAAACAAAATATGGCATTTTAATATTTTATAACATAAGTATGAATTTTTATTAAGCAAGCATAACATGATGCGTCCAGCTATTAGACTGTCGCACACACCAAAATAAAAATAAAATATATATTTATAAAAGTGCAATTTGCTAAGTAGCTACAAGCATCAATGAGAATTTGTAAATTTTCTAGAGTGAACCAAGATAATATTTTTTTCCTTAATTGGAATAGAAGGGTATTGTTTCTAATTCAAGAAATCCTTCATCATATAAAAAACTTTTTTACAATGAAGAAAAGAAACTATACACATTGTGATAAAAGCAAGAAAGAGACAATATATATCATGATAAGCAACAACAAAAATAAGGATAAACATAATTGAAATTAAACGAAATTAGCTAATTAGTTCAAAACTGTACCTTTATAGAAGTGAGACAAAATATGAAGGCAGGAACTTTAGGCCAAGAAGAAGAAATCTGGAATAATCTTCAGAATTGTTTGTGATTAATTTTTTTTTTTCTCAAGGCCTCAAATGGCTCTCTCTATATATAGAACAAAATATGTAGGAGACATGAAAGGACATTGATTTCTTTAATTTCAGAATTGATTATAGATACAACTGGAGTGAGGCATCTATTGAATAACAGTAATTATTAAAGCAGAATGAATGAGAACTCTTGAGAAAAACAGGACAATCACTATTGGACAGGTCTAACAATTAGACAATTTTATTATTATTATTTTTTGACAGATTTGCATATTTCAAATTGAAATATCATACTTTAAAAATAATATAAACAAAAACATAACATTTCATAATAAATAGGTATGCATTTTTTATACAAATATGTGATGAATCAAATTGTAAGGAAGAGGAGAATGGTGTGGTAGAAAATGATTATTTAAAATTTGAAGACTTGAGGGTAAAAAACAAAAATGAGAGACAAAAATGTATTAATTGTAGAGGGTAAGATCACAAATGTTTGCTGGAAAAATGAAAATTATAGTAAATATTTGCAACCACAACTGGGCTATTAAGGCTTCATTCATTGCTGACATCTGTTGGTTAACATATTACTTTCAATGGATCAATTAAATCTCCCTATTAAAAAGTCCTAACTGCCATCAGAATGGATATTAAAGCAATGCCCACTTTTAATTAAATAAAGAAGTAATAATATATTAATTATAATTTAATCACTTAGGTAGGCTTGTGTATGTACCACATGTCAACTGTTTATATCACAATTTAGTGTTATCTTCTATACATTTATCAATAATTATAGCTTGAATTAGGGTTTGATGATTTGGATCGTCCTAATTTGATTTGTCTAATTCCCTAATTGCAAAATAGATGGTTTTGAGTAGGTTTGTTCATTAGGCGATTCGATTGAACCCATGGGCGGATCCAGAAATTTATTTTGAGGGGGACTATATATTTTTTAATAATCATTGATTTAATTTAATGTGCATAAATGTATTATAAAATTATATATAATAATAGTGCATTATAAATTATAAAGTTTCAAACCTTGACAATAACAAATTTAGATTGAAAGCTCTCTTAACTCATAAATTTCATTAATGATTGACTTAATAATATTAATTTTGATATTTTTTTCTTTCCATTAAACATATCTTATATTGTTCTTTTTAAAAAAATTACAAATTTTTATGTTTTCACATATTTACCATACATTCAATTTATTTAAATTAAAAAATGGTTATACAAAAGTGCAAATAAAGTATAACTATAGTGAATTATTAGTAGAAAGAGTAATAATTATTATTTTAATATAATTGTGTGAGTTTATATAAAAAAAATGATATATATATATACACACACTAAAAAATACAAATCTTGGGAGGGGATGGGGGGACAATGGCCCCCCTATCATACACATTTCGCCCTGACCGACCGAAATGTCAAAACTAAACTAATCTAGTCGAACTCTTGAAAAAACTGAATCGGCCGAACTTTTGTCCCAAAACCGAAATAAAACTAAACCAAAATAATCAGTTTCTTCGGTCGGTTAACCGAAATAACTGAAATTAATTACAATTTATAATATAAAAAATATATTTAGTATTTTAATAAAATATTATTTATTATAATATAAAAAGAATAATATTATTTATATAGTACGGTCGGTTCGATTATATCGGTTATTTTAAAAATAAAATCAAAACAGAATCGATATAACCAAAATTTAAAAGTAAAATATCAATAACCGAACCAACATATAAAAAACCGAATTGAAAATTTTTTTTCGATCGGTTTTTTCGACTTGGGAAGAACTTTGCACACCCTAGTTTTGAGTTGTACTCAATAGTCAATATACACTAAATAAAAGTAGATAAGTATAGCATGTCACCATATTTAGGTCAAAAGAGTATAAAGAGAGTAATGAAAAATTGTTGCACCGGTCGAAGTACAAATTTAGGTCAAATACGAATATATTTTAATAAATGTATTGTCCGTTGGAATTGTTTTTACACTAATAATAATTTCAATATGTAGAGAAAACTATCGCCGGGATCGTCAAAGTCCAACAGAAATTACAATGGAAAACTAATTACAACTGAATATTTACGGTGGAATTTTTCAACAAAAGTTATAACATTAATAATATTTATCAGATTTTTTTATAAAATATTACCGTTAAAATATATGATCATTTTCTTCTATTGTTGGTTGCCCATAATTATACTTATTAACTGATTTTAAATGACTGTTGAATTATGAAATTAGCTGCTTCATAAATCAGTATTGCCAAACAATGCAATATTGAATTCACCTCAATCATAGATAGGTTGCTGAAGAACTTTAACTCTTCTAATGGTAGAATTTATATATAGCTGCTTTTTATTAAGTTTATGAGACCCTCTGGCCATGGAAATAGGTTAGACTTAAGTGACTCCAATTTACTGATGTGATTATCTTAATTTTTCATCAGTGTATAAATATTGGGTATTATTAGCAAATGCATAAATTAAGACAACATATTCATCTAACGAAATGAAACAGAGNGAAATATGAAATTTAGTCATCTTTTTTGTAATTATCCACCTATGCATTAAATCACAAATGCTCCCAATATATACATTTTTTTCATTTTTTCTCTATAAAAAACCAAACCCTGCAAAACCTTCAATGACAATACATAAGTAGTTGGGCAAATGAAAGCATACTAAACTATACAATATGACACCTTTTATTTATTTATTTATTTATTTATTTTCTGATAACTTTTCCATGTGTCACAAATCATGATCAAAGTCATGGATTGAAAATTGGATATTTTTTTTTTTAGGATTTCTGACAGTACTGATAGTTGGTAAACTATCCAAAACAGAATTAAGGCACACCATTTACTTTTTGTCATAATGCCATATTGATGAATACTAAATAATACAGTTCAACTAACCTTATTAATTACCAAGTAGAATAAACTTTTTCCTCAGTTCTACCAATCTTTCTTCTTCACTAGACAAACAAAAGGCTTGGATAAAGTTCTGCTAACATATATTCCAGCCTTGTCTTAATTAATAATATCCTAAATTAACTATTTTTTATAGCAAATATATAAGAATAATAATAATTAAAAAAAGGAAAAAAAAATCCTGTGTATTTTACTATTTGCATTCCCCAATTGCAAAAAGTGAATGGCATGATAATAATAATAATAAAAACACATTCAACCTAGCAGTGGTATTTAAACCCAATTTTTTTTTTCAACCAAGTTGAAAATCTAACCAATTTTCCTTGTCATATAAAGGTACCAAAATGGAATATCCCTTTTCAAGGGGCAACACCATTGAACCATAAATTTTCTCATCTGCTGGAAAATGATAAATGTGTGTGTGTCATACACTGAGACACATGCATGTTAGGTACAATTTATTCTGTAAAAACCTGTCAATGTCTTCTTATTTTTTTACTATTATTATAACCTAATACAAAATGAATCTTCTGTGCAAACAAGGTAATGTTTGTCCCTCATGGATCATATTCTCATTCATGGCAATTATCTAGAATCTGCTCACAGTAAAGAATGTTAAGATACTTTATGCCCCTAGCTCAGTTCTACACTATAACTGGACCACAAAAATGGGACTTTCAGTTTTATTTTATCCAATCTACAAGAATGTATCATAAAAATCTTTGGATGTTTCTTTTAACACCAAAAGCAGAGAAGTTGATACATATGGGTAAAATTAAGCATACATTTTTAATAATTTTACAAAAAAAAAACGGAATCTTTTGCAGACCGTATAGTTCTTTCTGTAACGGGACCATTCGAAATCTCCCTGAGCTAAACTGTAGTCCGTAAATGATCAAAGTCAAACAGAAAGAGAGCCAATTTATAATTTACCACAAGTTCTGAATACAATGCACGTAAAGCTACTTTCTTTCCATCAGATCATAACTCATGAGTTGTAATACTATAATAGCAAATAGNGATTGAGAGCCCAAAAAAAAGCTGCTAGCTTGACGATGGTCGAACATCAAACACCCCAGCATGTCGAGACAAACAGTTCCATCTTTTAGAATCACAAACACACCAAAAGAAAATATCCATCGAAAACCACACAATTTCCAAAGACAGATCGAGTTTTTTTTCTTTTTTTCCCACAAATACAGCAAGAAAAGAAAACTCTGAATGTCTTTTTTTCTTCTTCCTTCTTCTCTGTTTTCCTTTTCCATTTTGGTAAATTATCCAAAAAATATCACATGCCTTCTAACTAACTCACAATTCAATCATCTCTCATCACCATCATCACCACTCGACTCAATTTCCCACCAATCACCCCCTTCCCCTAAAACCGATCCCGAGCCCGAGTCATCATCTGAACCAGACCCCTCAAAATCCGAACCCCGGCTCTCGATCTCCTCAAAATACGATCTTTTCTCCCTCTCTGGATCATAAGTCCACTCTAACCCCTTCAACACACTAAAATCCTTCCACTTCCCCACAACCGAGACCGCTTGCTTCCTCGCCTTCCCAATCAAAATCTCCTCCCAAGAAAACGAGCTATCGGCAATCCTTTTCAAACACCCCTCGCTGACATCACCCACGACCACAGTCTTTAGACACCTCTCCCTCGCCTCCTTCAAAACCCCCTCGAAATCCGAGTCATCCGAAACAAGAACAATACAATCCATCGCCCTCCAATCCATGAGCTCCACCATGTGATTCCTCAACGCCACGTCAGCAGCCTGAGGCAAGTTCGAAACCTCCCGGACCCAAAACCCGGCCCGTCTAACCTCGTCCGCCAGCCCATACCCGGTTTTCGGAGTCAACACATCCCTGGCAGCCCGTTTGTATTTTTCCATCTTCATCGAGTATTTGGCCACTAATCGAACCCTTTTCTTGCCACGAGCAGAGTCAATCTGGTTCACACGTTTTGCTTGCTCGCGTTCGTGAATGTCCTTAAAATGGTTGATGAGTTTCTCGTTTTTGTAGAACTTTCTCCCGCAAACACCGCACGTGTAGGGCTCTGATGGCTTGATGGTGCCGATTTTCTCGAGCTCGTTTAAGGTTTTTCTTTCTCTTCTTTGGTCGCGAATTAGTGGAGGCACGTAGGTAAACGAGTGTCGATTGGCGTAAGCAATCATGTGCTTGACGAACCCAAATTTTTGTGCTGCTTTTTTGAGCCGAATGGCGGCATCGAAAGGCGGGGAGGTTTTGGGAGGCTTGTTATCGAGATCCCAAAAGATGGCGACAGCTGGCGAAGATGAAGGATGAGCAATTGGGTTTGATGAAGAAGTGAAACTAAAGCACACGGATTGTGAGGGAATTGGGCCAAACGAGGTTTTGTTGAAAATGTTTCGAAATTTGGTGAGATTCAGCATATCAAGATAGTGATTTTCTGGCAGAAACAAGTGCAAATCAACATATTTATGGGCAAAAATAAGAGAGCAACATGAAAAGACAGCATTTTGATAAGGAACTTATTAGGAATAGGGCAAAATCCTTGATTACAACTGCAAATCAACGCATTATAGGCAAAAAATTTAGAGAAATCGACCGAAAAATAGAAAAAGATAGCATTTTTAGGAACAGGGCAAAACACTTGATTATACCCATCAACCTAAACAAGAATGAGTACGTGTGTTCTGTTTAAGATTCGGTACAATGAGCTGATAGTGAATATGGAAATCGACAAGGCGTTGAATAAGCTTCGAATCAATTGCTAGATGATTTGTTCTCTTGAAATCTATGTAAGCTATGTTTGATGATAACAGCGACACAGATAAATTAGTTCAGAATAAAACAAATTATAGAGAAATAACAAAGGAATATGCTTTACCTTTGCTTTCAGCCGCCGCCGGCTCTGCCGGAAAGTGTTGCTGGTGCACTTCTGGTGATGCCCACGGCCCACCGCACGGAAGAACAGTAAAAGAAAACGAAAGAGAAGAAAGGGAAATCGGCCAACTTGGTGTGTTAAATGGGCTCGGACACTGAAAATTTAGTTAATTGGCTCTAGCCTTCTCAATTGGACAAAATTTGATGGGCCTCTAATTACTGAAGTTGGGGATAAATCTTCCCGATATATAGGGCATGTCCGGCTCTTTTTTCCCAATTCTCACTATCACAATACATTAAAGGAGCAGCGGTTCACAAATCTAAGGAAGATGAGAGGATTTCATTTCCTGCCTGAACTTCATCAGCGCCGCCTCCCTAAGGTTGACCTTCGCCGCCTTCCCACCTCCTTCGCCAAAGGGCTTCCGAACGGTGTCCAGTGCTGGTGAGGATGATAAGGTGGGCCTGGCTGCCTACAAACAAACATATGCCACACGGGTAGTTTGGGTGAAGATTTTAAGAGAAAAAGATAATATGAAAATTTTTGGTTTTGTTGGATTTTTTTGGTTTGGTGTGTTAATTTTGAAAAAAATAGTATGATTAATTGTTAGTGGGTATATTAAAATAATATTTAAAATAAAATAATTAAAAATTTGATGTGATGGTTAGTTAAAATATTGTGAGTAGATGAACAGTGAATTAATGTTAATATGGTGAGTATGAATGATTGGTAAACCCTCCGAACTAAAGCTCCTCTGTAGTATATGAAGCTTGGTAAAGTCTCCAAATCACGACTTTTTCTTTTAAGTTATCTCTTCATTTGATTATCTTTACATTTATGAAATTATAAGGTGTCTTTGAATGAAATTCTGGTAGAATTTATTGGTTAATTGTTTGTTGTGTACTCATTACGTATAATTTATTTATTTTTATAAATTTATTTTCATATTTTCTAATTCGTATCTTTGATTCTTCTGACTGACAATCACATGAATTTAGTTTGGTTATATGTTAGCAATTACCTGTTGGAGTTCTTGATACGAGAGGGTCTTAGTTATTAATATTTTGTACAGAAGGAATTTGTGCTCAATATTTTTGTTGCTCTTTTTAGCTCATTTTCGTTTTATTCTGGACTTTCTCTCTGTTTGATTTATTTGACTAGATATTTGTAGATCCTGATGCAGCACACTTTGATTTACAAGTTGATGCAGCAACGTGGTAGATCGAAAGGAATATAAGAGAAAACTCAAGAGTTCTTAATTTTATTCAATGTTCATCGATCAAACTTCATAAGAGAGGGACAATATATAGAGTCCTATGAAAGAGAATCCTAATCCTAATTATCTTGTGCAACAAGATAATTATCTTATTTATTCCTAAATAATAAAACACTCCTAAGGAAATAAAATATCTCTTACTAAATAATAATAGGAAATATAATATGTAGAATAATCTAGATGCGTAGACGGTCGAATTTGTCGAGAAAGGCTAGGGCGGTCTCGTCTTCATCATCCTCCCCCGGTTGGGAAGGATTCGGCCTCGAATCCGAATGGGTCTCGTCTTCCTCCGAGTTGTCCCCCGCAAAGGGAACCAGATGCTTGACGTTAAAAACGTCATGTGTGCGAATATGGGAAGGAAGCCGCAAACGATAAGCATTTGGATTAATCTTCTCAATCACCTCGACCGGTCCTATCTTCCTTGCCGACAACTTGCTGTACTCATGGCTCGTGAATCGGTCCTTAGTCAATACCGCCCAAACATAGTCGCCCACGTCAAATTCCACGTGGCGCCGTCGCAAGTCCGCCCGCCGCTTATATGCGGCCGTCGATGCCGCGAGCTGGTCCCGGGCCCGCGCATGCGTGGCCTGTAAATCGGAAATGAGCTCGGCGGCGCGCCTATCGCCGTCCCCATGCTTAGGCAAAGAGATCAAATCAGAAGGCCCACGGGGACTGACAGCATACACCACCTGAAAAGGAGAAAAACCCGTAGAACGATTGACGGCAGAGTTGTGAGCAAACTCAGCCTGTGCTAACCGCTGATCCCATGTGCGTACATTGTCTCCCACTAAGCAACGCAGCAGATTACCCAATGAACGGTTAACCACCTCCGTCTGGCCGTCAGTCTGCGGGTGATATGCGCTGCTGAAATCGAGCCGGGTATTGGCCATACGCCACAAGCTTCTCCAAAAATGGCTCAAAAAACGCGTATCACGATCGGACACAATCGAAGAAGGCAACCCATGCAAGCGATAAACCTCCCGGAAGAAGAGGAGAGCCACGTGAACAGCATCCGAAGTCCGCTTGCACGGAATGAAATGGACCATCTTCGAGAAGCGATCCACTACGACAAAAATAGAATCCACCTGACATTGTGTGCGTGGTAACCCCAAGACGAAATCCATGCTGATAGAATGCCAAGGGCGGGACGGGATCGGAAGCGGTCTATATAACCCAGCATTATTCGCCACACCCTTGGACACCTGGCACACCCGACAACGAGCCACATAACGAGAGACATCACGGCGAAGACTAGGCCAAAAATACGAGCGGCTCACCAGCTCGACCGAACGATCCCGGCCCACATGGCCCGCGCCATGGAGGTCTCCAATGAGCTTCAGCCGAAGGCTGACATCAGGAATGCACAAACGAACTCCACGAAAAAGGAACCCATCTGACAAAGTGTAGTCCGGAATGGGACCGTCGCGCAAGGAACGAAGAATCGGGCCAAAAAATGGATCATCGGCATAAGCCTCGCGCAATACATCAAAGCCCACCACGGAGACACGCATGTCCGTTAGAAGAAGGGCCCGACGACTCAATGCATCAGCAACCCGATTAGATGACCCAGAACGATGACGGAGCACAAAAGTGAACTGCTGCAAGAAGGCAGCCCACGAGGCATGGGCGGGAAGAGATATGATCCTGCGAAGCAAGGTGACGCAATGCCTCATGGTCGGAGTAAAGCACGAACTCACGATGGAACAAATAGTGGCGCCAATGTCGAACCGCACGTACGATCGCATAAAACTCCACATCGTAGGTGCTGTAACGACTACGAGGTCCCGAAAGCTTCTCACTGAAAAAGGAAACCGGGCGACCATCCTGACTGAGAACAGCCCCAATCCCGACCTTCGAAGCGTCACAAGACAACTCAAAAGGCCGACCAAAATCCGGGAGAACCAAAACGGGCGCAGACGTGAGCTTCTCCTTAATCACGTCAAAAGCCGTCGCGGCCGCCGGGGTCCATGTAAACACCTTCCCCGTAAGGCAATCCGTGATTGGCGCGACGATGGAGCTGAAGTGAGAGATGAACCGACGATAAAACGACGCCAGTCCATGAAAGCTACGCGCCTCCGTGAACGTCGTCGGTGTAGGCCACTCACGAATCGCCGAGACCTTCGACTCATCGACCCGAATACCATCGCCCGAGATGAAGAACCCCAAAAAAAGCACCGACTCCACCAAGAAGGAGCACTTCTTCGGCGCAGCAAAGAAGGACTCAGCCCGAAGAATACATAAAACAGCCCGAACATGCTCCAAGTGCTCCTCCAGTGTCCGACTATAAATGAGAATATCGTCGAAATAAACGACGACGCATGTGCCAATGAGATCACGAAGGGCCTGGTTCATCACGCGCATGAAAGTACTGGGCGCGTTAGAAAGGCCGAAGGGCATCACCAGCCACTCAAAAAGACCCTCACGGATTTTGAAGGCCGTCTTCCACTCGTCGCCGGGACGGATACGAATCTGATGATACCCGCTACGAAGATCGAGCTTCGTGAAAATAGTAGCCCCATGAAGCTGGTCCAGCAAATCATCTAAGCGAGGAATCGGGAAACGATAACGTACCGTAATTTTATTAATAGCCCGACTGTCCACACACATACGCCAAGCCCCCTCCTTCTTGGGGATCAATAAAGCTGGAACCGCACAAGGACTCATGCTCCTGCGTACGACTCCACGTTGAAGGAGCTCCTCTACCTGTCGACGCAACTCCTCATGTTCCATTGGACTCATCCGGTAGTGTGGTCGGTTGGGCAACGACGCGCCCGGTACCAGATCGATATGGTGCTGGATATCCCGAAGCGGGGGCAGCCCAACTGGCAGCTCATCCGGGAACACATCAGCAAACTCCTCCAATAAAGGTCGAACGGCGTGAGGCGGCTCACGGTCCTGTAGCACATCCGTGGCTAACAACAATAGGATCGTGGGCTCGGACCGCATCTCTGCCTCGAACGCCGAGCGGGAAAGAAAAAGCACCGGTGAAGAAGACGGGCCAATCGAAGGGCTCGCCGCCGGACGCGCCGGTCCCGGATGTAAGACTATACGAACCCCGCCAAACATGAAGCTATAGGTATTAAGACGACCGTCATGCGTGGCAGCCCGATCGTACTGCCAAGGTCGACCCAAAAGCAAGTGACATGCGTCCATCGGGACCACGTCACACCAAATCTCATCCCGATACTTAGGTCCAATCGAGAAAGACACCAAAGCACGCCTATCAACAGTGACTGCGTTATTCTTCTGAATCCAAGCAAGAGAATAGGGACTAGGGTGAGCAACACTCGGTAAGTGAAGTTTATCCACGGCCACCTGGGAAATCACGTTCTCGCATGAGCCGGAATCAATGATGAAACGGCACACACGATCACCAACCGTACACGTGGACTCAAAAATCTGATGCCGGCCCGCAACCTCCTCATCGAGCACCTTAGGGGCCAAACATGAACGCCGAATAACGAGACTATGACCCACATCCCCCGTAAGATGCTCCTCCACAACCTCCGGCTCCTCGTCAAAAATGGGAGGCCCGTCATAAATGTCGCCCTCCTCCGTATATAAAGCACGGGACGTGGAACCACGAGGGCATTCGGACTGCCGGTGACCCAATTCGCCGCAGCCAAAGCATCGAAGCCCGCCGGTGGGACGAGCCGCCGGTCGCTGAACGCCGTTGCCCGGACCCGCCGAATGTGCTGCGCCGCGACCCATGGCGGGGACCACCGCTGATGACCCCGCCTGCCCGGTGCCAGCCCCACGACCGCCGCCAGCCGAAACGCCATTCACAAATCCCGAGCCCCGACGGGCCTGCTGCTGTTCAATGATCAGGGCCCGCTGATGGGCGTCCGAGACAGAATCCGGCATAAATAAATTCAGAACATCCTGATATGATACACGTAATCCCCCGATATATTTGGAAATCAGCTGGTCCTCCGTTTCACGTGCATCAATCCGGGTCAGGAGACGATAAAACTCCTCCGTGTATTCGTTAACAGATCTAGGCCCCTGACGTAAATTTTGAAATTTTTGGTAAAGAGTACGCGTGAAATTAAACGGGAGAAACTCACGCTCCATATGTTTCCGGAACTTGGCCCAAGAAGTGATCTGAGGCTTGCCCATGCGATGCCGCCGACCCTTAAGTTGATTATACCACGCAGCCGCGTGGTCACGTAACCTGGTAGCGATAAATG